ATGAATATGTCGGGGTATTCGATGGGTAAAGACACGAAGCGATATATCTAACTACTTTTAACAATGAAACCCGTTTCATTCACTCAATTTCTTTTCGACCTAAACCTACCTGAACCCTCCATCTTCAAGTAGATACTGCTTGCAGAATGCAAATTCTGCCCCATAAAACTTCATTCAAAAGGGTGACCAAGAGATAGCAACTTAATACACCACGATAAAGTGAAAAGTTAAGGGTGGTAGGTAGCTGGTTGTTGTACAATTTGATAATAAACCAAATCCGCTTGCTTCTAATGTTTTGCTATTCCAAGTATCGCAGCCTAGATTTCCATTTGCCATAAAAAATGAATGGTAGGTTCTCATGATTATTGAGTTACTACAACTATCAACTAACTCTAACTGATCTGTGTAGAAATAAATGACCGTACTGCTGAATGATTAATAAAGAAGAGTATTTCTATCGTGCTGAATGGACGAATAGAATAGGATTGAACTTCGTCGAGGAGGCATAATTGAAGAACTTCATGCCCAATGTTTCACAAGACCAATCGCGAAGCGAAAGATCTGGCAACGCGGACTCAAATGCGAAAAGAATCACTGGTATCAAATTGAACATCTACATTTATTTCGTATGGAGGGATTGAATTTTTCATCAGTACTGTCCTTGTAAATAGCAAGCATAATCGCTTCGAGTGCAGCTTCGGTCGGAGCAAAAAACCAGATATAGACGGTTTCATTTTATACAGCCATTACCCATGCACTTTCATACGGCGGTTTTGGTTGCTGTCTTTTAGATGCCGGTTGGATGAGGTGGAGGGAAGATTGGAAGCATTGTCGAGATGAAAATAGAGAAAAGTCGGGAAGGCCAAATATGATAATAGATTGACTTGGTACGCGAGCACAATTTGACCATTTCAATCGGTGCTTCTAACCCCCGGTTACAATGACCCCGAGGTCCCCCATCCAGAAAGCCTGACTCGACTTATATGACCGAGTTTCCTTGTCAGGGTTTCTATACTACCTAGGTCTTAGTTTGATCACCCTTGACTCTTCTCCACTGGTTACCTGCCTCATGGCAGAAGGCGAACCCAAAATTCAGTAAGAAAAATACCGAACACCTGCAACCACGAATGGACGGCTGCCAATATTTGCAGAGACCATAGCAATCAAGCGCCGAAAGCCCCTACTGTGTCAGTAGGAGGTCTACATCAGTCTGGCGTTGCCCTGGTGACTACGTAAGCGGAAGAATGAACTGATAAAGTGTTAGATTGTCATGACCTGTGATATAAACTTTTTTTCTGCACTAAGCACCCGTTGAGATGCAGCGAAGTAATTCCTGAATTAAATCGTGTTCGCTTGCAGTGCTGAACTCTTTGTTCAAAAACATATGAGAATTGTTTTTGAGGTGAACCAAGTATATGTTCCTAGTCTATCTAGTTCGGCTGTCTGGCGCTATGGGTAATGGTATATACATTGCATTTAGGGTTCGTCATTTTTATCAAACGTGCCACAGCAAGATCGTCTTGAACTCCTTTTCATTTTCATAGGAATTTGTCGTGTATACAGAAAATCAAGCGTGAACTGAAAAGCTAGGTTGGGTCTAATCAACAGCGCGAGCCGTCGACCCAACTGGGGATCGAACTCGGGACTCCATTTTCATTTACCAGAGTGTAGTTTTGTGAATACATCTCAATTTTTCTATTCACTAAAGCGAAGAACAATATGCTGAAAAACTCCCTGAGTTGCATGAATACCGCTTAAAACCATCCGAGCGTGTGTGTCGTGAGACCATCCAAGATCACACATTCAACTCCGTTACTGGTAGATGTTCCCTATTTCCAGAAAGCATACCGATATGACCGAGAGTTAATATCAACGTGCACATTCCGAACTGCGCATTCCTGGCCTAAAGAGGATGAGGTTACAAAGCGATTTCTAGGCAGACATCGAAATAACCCTAATTGCAACTTTCCGATAGTCACGTACAACCCGTACCACTCCCGGAGAGATGGTGACCAGTTTCATTGTATTTCTCTACTTTCCTGGAGACGGTAAATTTTTGTTTATCTGATGCTTTCGATAGACTTTTCGAATGGATATAAACTGACAAATAACTCGAAGATATTTCACATTAGTTCCGAAACGAAAAGAAGTGGACAGCGAATGCGTCTTTCTTCACGTGTGCAAACGAGATTTAACTGACATGTGTAGGCACAGTCCATCGATATGAATGAAGGTAAACCGAGTTCCGTTTACGAAAATCCAATTGTGTTGGACTTAGGGAATTTCAATGGAGGATTTGGTGGATTCGTCGTGTGTATGGCAAAATGAATCGTGAACTGAAAAGCTAGGAAGCACTGGACAGCTATTTTGACCTGGGTTGGGTCTCATCAGCAGTGCGAATCCATCGGCCTAACTTAGGGAATGGCGAGCATAAGTCTAGGCGGTCAGATAAGTCTAAACGGGATTGATCCAACTGCAGTGTATTATCAATCAATATCTCCGTTTACGCAAAATCTTTTATTCACCAACAGCTCATTTGTCAACAATATGCAACCGATTGCTCGTGCTTTATGGTGTTTATCCTCACACACTGTTAACCCTTTACGTGAACGATTAATTTTTGTCGCGTTGTGTTTCTGGTGCTCACTAGTTCCCAGACTTGCAAATAGCTAAATTTGACCTGCTGATTCCTGGATGAGTTTTGATCGAAACACATTTGGTTCGTTTGATCAACCGAGTGAGCACATGCTGTGCAGAAGACAACTGAGCNNNCCCTCGAGTATAACTGGACAGTACGTTTGCCCAGGCGAGTACCGTTAAAATCGTGCGATTTTCTATCCACGGTGTGATGTTAAGCCATGGACAACCTCTGGAAGCAAGTCTGTTTGTTTGACCGTCCCCCGCGACGAACAAGA